ACGCCAACCCCTTGAATCAAGATGCAATGCAAAAGGCCGCCACTAGCATCTCTATAATACAACGCCTCTCCCCAAATGTCATAATATGAAGAGTAGGGATGAGATGGCATTGTACTTCTGTACCTCGCAAGCTGGAATAGGCATAAAAATACCAAGCAAACGGCCAAACATAATTTTAAGGTCAGAAAAATGCTAATATGTAGTAGCAGTGCTTGCACCAGCAAAAGAACAAATGTGCTTAAAGTTTGGCTTCAACTATCTGCATGTTTGGGTAAATATATCTTTGTATGCTGGGTGGAGTTTGGGAAATAAAAAACAGAGGCAGATTGCTTTGAAATTGAAACTTCCTTTAAAAGATGTTAAATCAGCCCAGGAATAAACTGCAACACACACACATAGATGAGGAAGTACTTAGGGACTTTGGAGTTGTGGCTGCTGCTAGAGGTGGACTCGCAGACTGATAGGTAGGCTTAGTTGTCCTGTTAGAGCGCAGTTGTTATGGTGCCACCAGGGCTGTAAAAGACCACAGCCCAGTTCTCTCCCTCAGCTGCTAATATAAAGAGTGTCCCAGTGCCCAAAATAAACACTTCTGCACATTGTTTACTCATCTTCCGTTTGAATGGTCTGAGACCGGCGCTTCTCTTCTTTCAAACTGTTTGTTTTTATGATGTGAAACAGGCCTTGAGGGACCAACAGAAGGTCCCTGTGTGGAGATACGGATCACAGCCAGAAGAGCTGGGAGAAAGAAAGAAGGGCTGTGTGGGTTGGTGAGACATGAAATAAAACATGTTATAAGGACTAATACTGTCTGGCTGAGAGACTGAGGGAGTCATAGATAGACTGTGTGTGTTAGTGTGTATGGGAGCATGCAGCTTGGGAGATGTGGGTGCATCCACAATGACTTGTCTGAGGAGGAACAATATGAATATGCGGAAGCTTTTCTGACTAAAAGATAATCTACCCACCCACATTATTCTCTGCAGTAACTCCAAACACTGAATTTCTGCATGCATAAAGCTTCAGAAGTGACAGAGAGACTGGAGTCATTTTTGAACATGTGTACATGCATGATGTCTAAAGCATTATGTCTTCCTTGCCAGCACTGAAATTAGAGTAGGCCAGACAATTATCTTGACTAAGCTCCATTTACTATGAACCCTCTGAGGCCTGAGGGGCCATCAGTGATACCAGCTGACATTCCTGTCTTTAGAAGGCTGTGGCATGTTTTGGTACTAGATCAATAATACTGTTATATGAACTAGAAGACTTAAGGAATCCAGTGGTACCAATCACATCACGCTGGCTTGTCAGGATGGGGGTTTAATAAAGCTCTGAATTAAGGACTGTAAATCTGAGACTCTTGTGAATTCAATGAACCCAAGTTTATTTATGCGTGATGTTAGACCCCATAGTAGCCATTTCAATGTAATGAGACCATTTTTTTTACAGACATTACTATATAAAATCACCTATCGCAACCTCTAGGAAAATCACAGCCTCATGAAACTTTACAACCACAAACGAGAGACCTGGGGCATTCAGAGGATTTCTGGCTTTCATTGGTATATTGACAATACGATGGCTTCCTCAGCAGTTTCCAAAACAGAAATGGTCGCTATCCAATCACCAAAACATGCAGTTCTTACAGAAATCTCCAAATGTCAAAGGTTTTTGATACAAAATGAGAATATTGATTTACTGTGGTGTTGCTGAAACGGGGCTTATGTGGCATAACCTGTTGGCCTGCTCTTATCCCCTGCCTCCCATCCCCAAAAAGACAGAAAGGGTCTTTATTGGGTCTCGGAGGGTTAACTGAGAGATTAAACTGGCCAGCTGACTGCTGTGGGAAGCACCCTGAACTGACTCTAGACCTGACAACACGGTTCATGCGGAGAAAAAACACTCGGATAAAAGAACAGAATATTTATGCTCTTTGACGGCTCCCTGCTCTTTCCCTTTGAAAACAGAACAAGGAGCGAGGAGAGACAGTGAATAGGGGAGCAGATGAAGAAAAAAAATCTAAATGGAATGATGAGGAGAATGGAAAACCAGATAACTCTGTCTTTCCAGTCTGGAATTTTGATGGGTTTTGTTTGTTTTTTATGAGGCGCAGACAGTGTTTGACAAGGCTCAAGGTGGCTTTCAGGGGACGGGCCACAGATATTGGGTGAGAGCCGCAAGATTCAGAGCCAATGTGGTGCAGATCAGGAATGTTGAGACCCGTCAAAGCCATCCTATTTTCTCTCTCTTTCCCTATATTTATGTTGATTAAATTACATTCCAAACATTTTCCCCATGCATTGGTTGGTGGCTAGCAGTGGTGGTTTCCACGATGTAAACATGCACATACAGCATGTTCTATCATATTGTGCCTCACTGGGACTCTCATATCCTGTGTCACTGTGGGCTGTGTGCAGATCCTCCCCAGACAGCTCTTTTAATCCATCATTTCTCCTACCTCCAGACAAAACCTTCAAATGCACAGATTCAAATCTCAGTTTGTCATATCTCCACTGTGTTGATGGATTTTTTTCTGTCTATCTTTGTCATTAGTCCTTTCCTCCCATCATTCCCTTCCCATCCCTCACACCAAAACGCTCCATCACTGCATCCCTTCTCCCCTATGGAACAATCAGCACTGGCTTTACTGCCCGACTCCCCTCAGTTACCACTCAGCTTGTCATTCTCCTTCTCTGACTCACACATTGAGAGAAACCTACTGGCCCAGCATGCTGGAGCTGGCTGATTTCCCCCCAACACACAGTTCTCACGCATAAACTTTGATTCTTTCTCATGTGCACGCCCATGGGTAAGTACAAGTACATCAAACTGGGGTCTAGAGCCTGAGGAAGGGACCAGGAGGGGATGCAGTGCAATGCAAACCACTTCCTCTGTCCCCAAGCTCACTATGCTGTAAAGCCAAGCTGAGAGGAGTGGGATCACGCTGTGAGACAGAACGCTCGGTGTTCCTCCCCTCAGGCATGGCTGGACTTGGTGCAAGACAGAGGATTGAAATGAAGGAGGGCCAGGAGGTGGAGGGGAGTCTGAAGTGCATCACAGACTTGGCATATCCCTGAGGGAAAAGTAGGAAGCATGAAGCCCCCCATTGACAAAGCCAGGCGCTGGACAATCCATCAGCAAGCTAATCAGACTGATCTGGAGCACACAGGGACCCGCGCCTCTGATGGTAGCGAGAAGCGCCAACGCTACAGCGTCTGCAGCCACAGATTGGCCTGATTTAAGCTACTCAAGCAGCGCTCTTATCGGGACCCGCAGTATTAAAGAGATTCTTACTGGGATGATCTCACTGGCCCCCCCTGCTGAGATCTAGGGCATCCTGAGCATCAAGCTCAGCTGCCTCTGTATGATTCAACCTTCAGAGGAGGCTTTGAATGTGCCGTTGCAAAAGAATTCAGTCAACACAAATTGAACAGGAATTGAAGTCAGTTTAAGATGTTAATGTTAAAAGAGGTGGTTTAAACTAAAATCCTCAGTAGGACATGCATTTAAATGTGTGGGAAATAAAAGCATTTTTCTCTTTTAATGAATATCTTACTTTGTGGGGCACTGTGTAATTGTGATTGTAACAGTGGGCAATTTTTTTCCTTCTTTAACATACAAAGAATTACTTTACCGGGCACCTAGGATGTGTTACCAGTACAAACCAAAAATAGTCTCGCCTAAATGTTAAAATATCGAGAGGACTGAAGTTGTACTGAGCATGAAAGGAAAACAGAGTATGCAGCAGAGGGAAAGAGAAGAGAACTGACAGAGAAGATAAGACAGAAGTGGCTTGATTGAAAACAGAAAAAAAGTAACACAGGCTGCATTTGGAAACTGAACACAGACCAGAGGGATCTGTTCAAGAAGCTCCGCTGGGGAGCTGTTGTGGAGATTGCTTGGGGAAAATTCAAGGCCTCAAGGTAGAGGCAGATGCTTTACTTGATGAAGCGTTCACTAATTCACCAGAGAACTATGGAGTGTGCCACGGGAGGGCGGAGAAAACTCAAGGTGAAAGTGGGGTGTCATCCGTCGAGAACACCCAAAGCCTAAAGGTGTGGATGGCTACGCTTGGGAAGCGTTCAAGCAGCCAGAGAGACAGCCATGCTGCATTGGGGTCCCTCTGCAACTTTAAAGCACTTATTTGGAGTTATAAAAAGGAAACACGGCAAAAAAAGGTGCATTCAATACACGTCTTAGCTGCGAAGGTTACAGCTGCTAAACGATAAGGAAAGGAGTGTGGTCCTGAGCCCATATTCCTGAGGCCAATTAGCCAGGTCTATGCGAATAAATCAGGACTAAATGAATACATAACCACACCAATAATGCTTCCAGGTCTGCCGTTGTGAGGAGAAAATACCATTAAGAAACTCCCCAGTGGCAGTGAAGGAAGAGAGGTAAACAAACTTTTTGGGGTCTAACAGCGCTCTCCTTCTGTGTAACTGTGTGTCAGCAGGGACGACAGGAAGGCTTAGCATATTGCTTTTACATCATATTAAGATAACTATGATGCTGTGAGCGGCCTTATTGGATCTCCAGCGGATAGCGGCAGGACAGTGTCGAAGCTTCGCAGCATCTGCCTGAGTAATTAGGACTTCAGGGGATGATAGCAGACAGAGAGAAAGAACAACAGCAAGACAAAAGAGTCAGAGATAACTGAGAGGAAACAGCTAAGAAACTCAATGGCACAGTGATGGAGACATCAATGATGAAAACCTTGAAATGTGATTATTATGACCAGACTGAAAAGACTACTAGGGCTGTGGATGCATGCTCATTTAAATGCTACTACATGTGCTAGTTTGATGACAGTGAGAACGAGACAAAGTGAGATAGGAAAAAAAATCTAACTCCTGTCCTTGTGAAAATATAGTGGCTTGTATACGCATGGCCAGTCTATTCAATATGGATGTCACATCTACATTTACAGTAAAACAGACAATGCACACATGGGTGCCTTTTACAGATGCAAGATGTAATGTCGTATACGATGGACTCACTGGTGCAGGGCTCATCCGGCTGATCAGCGTCACCACGGTAGTAACCGTTGCGGCACACACAGATGGTGGCGGCCTCAGCTGTGGAGCGGCTGTTAGGAGGGCACTGTAGGCACAGACCTGGACCCTGGGTTGACTTGAAGGTACCCGGCGGGCATGCTGTGAAAATAGAGAAACAATGTCAGAAAATTAATGGGGGAAAAAAATAACAAGCCAAGTACCACCAAAACCCAGACATCTGGGTCTAATACATCAGCTAGAATGGTGCGCAGAGATGGAGACAGAAGTTGAAAACACAAACTCAATGATGATGGATGTAGCCACTGTGACATCACCCACTGATTTGTGGACTCCTTTGGCATTTTTGCCGCTGCCATCTTGGATTTTTGGAGCCATAAGTGACCATATTTGGACAAGAGGATTGAGCTATAGAGGAGCAAGGGGTGGATTCGACTGAGATCATGCATAACTTTAAGCCTTGATCAAATCTAAACTTTTTGAGTTATATAAAAATTAACACCTGCACCATTGTCATGGGGGGGAAATTAGCTATAGCGACCGAAACTGCTTATTGTACCAGGCTGTAAACATATTCATTTCTGGAGCCAGCCATTTCTGGAGCCAGCCTCAAGTGGCCATTTGTGGAACTGCAGTTTTTGGCACTTCTGCATTGGCTTTTTTTTTTTTTTTGCCCTGGAGGCTGGTGATTGGTTGAAAATAACTTGAAATATTCCCACATATAACCCCCGTAACACCACACGTTCTCATTGTACACTTCTGTATAGATTAAACAAATGATATATACTCATTAGTGAGCTTTACAGATGCTGGTAGTTGGATTTTGTTAGCTTTAGGAGGAGCTAGGCTAGCTGTTGCCCCCTGTGTTCAGTCTTTACACTAAGCTAAGCTAACCCGCTGCTGGCTATAGCTTTATCTCATTCACTATTTCCATTATTATTACAATATGTATTTCATCCTCTATACTAATTAAGTCACTGGACCATTATGTTCTTCTTATTTATGTGTGATAACCTTTCGAGTGGAATTAGATTCAGGGATTTTTCAAACCAGAGTGAAACACGTAGAGATTCATCAGCGATCCACCTTTGCAGAATACATAACCTTGCTCTCTATCAACAGATTCTCAATATATATTCATACTTAACAGCATGCTTTCCACCCTCATCTTGTCCTAAAATACAAATCCCTGGCTGTAGCTTTATATTTGACAAAACATGACAGCTGCATCAATCTTCTCATCTCACTCTAAGTCTAAAATCATGAATGTTCTCCAAATGTGCATAATCAGTAGACTCAATCTATCTTACTCCAGCGGCCCTGATGCACCCAGTTGAAAGATGGCCATCAGGCGGTGTTGGACAATTGTTGAGCATCTGTGGCATTGGGAGGCAACATTGATAGTTTTTGCATTGTTTTTGCATATGCATGGCATATTACATCTACAGCCAAGGTGGTCGGTATGGGAGAACTGTCTGTCTAGCCTTACAGCCCAGAAAGCAGTGAATTCACCTGGTTTCATCTTATTTTTCACTCCGACTTTTTCTTGTCTCCTTTCACAAGCAAAAGACCACAGGCTAACAACACCAATGGGGAGTAAAGGCATATAAAGAAAACCTCAACAGTGCCAGCTGCAACATTTTATCAGACACATTTTCAATTCATATCAACACAGCTGTTTAATCAGACTGATAGTGGCATGAAAATGTTTGGCTAGATTTATTTTTCATTGTGTTTTTTTACTACTGACTATATCTGGGAGGCACAGAACATACATGTCTGTCAGTGGTCAGCTGTAGCATTTGCAGTTTGTTCAAGTACAAATTTTAACTGAAGACATGAGGCAACATGAGGCAAAGCCATTAGTTACTGGAGGATGGCTTCATCTGTTTGAGCCCTAAATTCTAAAGGCCGCGGTGGAGGACAAAGATTATTGTAGCTGATATCACTGCGCCTAAGTCCAGGCAATAACCTAATCCATTTACCCTCACATCCCAAAAGAATACAAAGCTGAGGGGTTTCTGCACTGTGTGGAAGGATTTACGGACTATAATAACTATGATAAATGTCTAATATTTTAGCAGGCTTACTGATGGGGGAGGAAGCTGTGGTGCTGCTGCACTCCAGAGGGGGAGGGGTTATAAATTTAATGGGACAAGCATCTTACAGTTTCTCCAGCTGCGTCTATTTGCCTGAGTAAAAGATTGTAAAAGCTTGACTGCAGCTGAGAAATGGGATGTAGGGTACTCATGCCTGTGTAAAACCCAAAGTGATTTTTTTTTTTTTCACAGACTGCACTGTGACAGCAGTGTCTGGGCATATGTTGAACGTAAAAAATGCTCTAAGAAAAGTATGCGCAGCAAAGATATCCAGAATAAAAGGCTTCTGCAGACAATGACAACCTTAATCAGGTAAACAACACGGAGAGCCACTGGTCAGGTGTTTCACATATTAAAAGCAAAACAAAACGGTGAAAGCAGCCCAAAACGGGTCCATTGTATCTGATTAAGGGCCCTCTGTTACAATATTTAAGAAGAGTTTGGTAAATGAAGAGTTATTTAAAGCAATAATGACCAAGAAGTTGGTCCCAATCCCACTCACGGTCGGATCAAACAGTGGAGAGTGTGACACAGTAGCTATGTGAGAAAAACCTTTAGACCTTTGTATCAACAGGCTTTTAAGATTTAATTAAAAAATTTTATGCTTCATTAAAAATGCTCTGAGAGGCTGGGTTTTGGGAGCCCGACTCTACTTTACTACGTTGTAAAAAGGGCAGGTTTCTGCTTTTTACGACTCCTCCATTCATACTATTCAGCCGGCCTCTCTGATGGGCTGTTAATGAAGGATGGAGAGATGAAAAAAGAGCCAGATGAAAAGCAGGTGAAGGAGAAAGACAAGGCATCATGCACACATACACACACACAAACACACACACACACAACTCAAGCTGCTGCCCCCAACGGCGGCTGCTCTCCAATCTCCTTTGGTCGGGCTGGCAGACACACCAGAGGCTAACTGACTGATCTCATGTCTAGTCACATAACACTGTCCACACACAGCCAGGCCGTCATATACAAACACACATAAATGGCAGGACCACAACAACCGCAAACAGCTTATAAAACAACCCTAGGAGCTGCATGGCATTTCACAGCTGCAATGCACAACTACTATATCCCCCTGAGCGAAACACATTGCTATGCTGCGGATACTCCACGGTTGTGTTGAAATTACAGATGCACGTATGGGGGAATATATAGTTCTACAGGGTTTGTAAGAGTAAAGGTAATAATACTTCTATAGGGGAGCATGAGCCTGTATTTTAGTGTGTGGGAGTGGAAGTCTGCGACCTCTCTTGACTTGTAATACACAGTTTCATGTGTGAGAAGATCGAGCTCCATCTAATACAAGAACATTGAGACTCTTAAAAAACCCCGCCTGGCCATATGGGGAAGCACAAACCAGCTGCAGAGCCATTTTATAAAGCAATAACTTCCAAAGATATCAGAGATTACAAGACGATAAAACACAGATCAAAAATTCATTTTCAGCAGGAGAGGGGGAGAGAACTTATGTGTCATCATCTTTGCTATATAAAATTCATACATCAGGGTGAGCGAGGAACCACACGCATTGCCATCACACACATACACGCACACACACATGCAGGCGGGCTTCAAATCTATTGCCCTGACTCTGAAAAGGGATCACAATAAGTTGTTCAGTGTGTGTTTAATGGGGCGTGAGCAGAATATGTGCATCGGGTTCTGCCCTGGGGTTGTGTGTTTACAGACAGACAGTAGCGAGCCTGGACATTCATAAATGGGCAAAACTGAAGAGAAAGGCAGAGAAGGCTGTGCTGAATCAGCCGTCTGAGATAGCAGTGCTGCAAAAGTGCCTCGAGGCAAACTTGCGAGCCGAAGAATGCACACACACGCGCGCTCTTACACTCGTGTACACACTCGCTCAAATAAACACACACCCTGAAAAACACCCCTATATTGGCATCAATGCTTTCCTCACCTCCAGAATACATTTACAGAACTGATTTACACAGCGGCACATGTAACCACTGCTGACCCCATTAAATGAAAAGGCGCACCCACATTTTCCGCCACTTGACTAGCATATGTTCTACAGAACCTGAGATAATTTAATGTTTCTCCTTGAACAAGTGAAGATGCTGCGATCAGCGTTACAGGACGGGAGATAAGTGACAGCTAGGCAAAAACAAACAAGCACATGCAAACACTTCACACCCAGCACAGGGTGAATGTCCGTCTAGATTATAACTCCTACCTCGGAGCTGACACTCTTTCTCTAATTGACACATAATATATGCATGAATCCTAGCATTAAACTCATTAATTAGCCGCTCACTGATCTGCCTCACGGAGCGAGAGGGAGGAAGAAACAGATACGGGCAAAGACAGAGAGGGAGAATGAGAAAGTAATGTGAACAGTGTTAGCGAGCCCTCAGAGGGATCGCTCTAAGGGCGGGCAGCAGCGGGCTGCATAGCGTTATGCTTCATCAAATTTGGAACCGAGCCCAAAGTCTTTTCTCCTGATTTGTGAATATTTAGATTGGAGGAGGCCAGGAGTTCCTGTCCCGCTGAAGAAAAAGCACATAGACCCATCACTCATTTAATGTGTTGGTTTTTCGGGGACAGGAGGGGATAGAACATTAGATCAACAAGCAATTAGTCTCCCCAGTGGGAGAATAACCCACAACTGAACTGGCTGCAAGCAAAAAAACCAAAACATTCCTCCCTTTCAAGTGGTCTCTACAGGATTCTCTCTGCGTTGTTCTCTCCTCCTCTTCCTTCTCACTTCTTCTCTGCCCTCACATCTTTTTGGTCTGTCCCACTGGTAATGAACTCCTCTCTTTCTCTCTTCTCCCACCTTTTCCTCCCCTTGTTGCTTTCTTGTCTTGATTGACGGGTTTGAATCCTTGTTAAGGTTCACTGTCTTTCTCTCTTTCTCTCCTTCCGTCTCTGGCTCACTCCGCGGCGAGTTGACGGAGGTATGGCAGCTGTGGATCGCTGCTTGCTACTCATCACAGTCTAACTGCGATGACCTCATGTCCCAGCAAGCCTGACCGGGAGAGATGAGATGATGATCTCTACACTGTCAGTCATTTT